CTTGTTTAATGGAATTTGCTCTATAATCGTTATCATTTTTTTTTTTCATGCCTGAAATGTATTCAACAATTTTTTTTCGATTTGTCTTACATCATCTAAGTTTGTTAAAGGGGTTAAATATCCAGAGCTAGTACAAAATTCTTTAAATTTCATTATCTAATTTTTTGTAGATCTTTCCGTATTTTTATTTTTGGCCTTTTCACGATAATATGCAGCTTTTTTTTGCGTATCAGTTAAAATGTTATTAGATGAAACTGAAACAGTTGTGTTTATTTCTTCTAATCTTTGCTTGGCTGTTTTAAAAACTGGAAAAGCGATATTAAATTTTGAAGTATTCATTGAGAATAGTTTTTTTTTTATTGTAAAGAAAGCTGTGAAGATACAATAAAAAAATAATGAGCATTAGGATCCATAAGGATAAATCAGTTATTTCATGTATTTGTCGTTGACATCAAAAACATCATGGATCAGCCTCTGATATCATGCATGATTGCGGCTATACCACAATCATGCATAATATCTCCGGCTGCCCATGATGTTTTATAATATCCATGATAAAACATGGAATAACTATTACATATCAACAGGGAAATACAATTTTCTATACTATATTCTACATGAGTAAAAATCAACTCGAGCTAAGCTCGGAGAATGATCCATCTAGCAGCAATCAGCTTCACATTGGATCCTCAACTTACTGAGGATATGAACCCTCTGATCCTTAGCTCTAGTAGCTGCATCGCTTCATCAAAAGAGCCAAATTAACAAAAGCACAAACACAAAAGAAAAAATAAAACAGAGGTAAAAGAGGAATACGATAAAAGATACAAACAAGAAAGATAAAGAGGTAAGAGAATATCGAAAAAAGAAAAAAAGAGAAATTTGTCTATCCTAATGATCACTATTATGAGCCCGTGAACAGCTTATAAAAATTATATACTACTAAATAAAATAATCACTACTATTAAATTTATCTAAATAGTATATGAAAGCTCAAAACTAGTGAAAAATACTTCTTCGACCATAGAATGTAGGGGTCGATACTCGATCCAAGTTGTAGAACATTGCTTAATCAGATTGTTGCATTCGAGGCACATGCCTTGACATGTTTGTTACCCTGTTGTACTGATTTAGAAAGTAAACAATGCTGACTGTTTTGATGCATGTGATGTCAATCTTTTAAAGGGGTAAGCTGAAACGTCCACTTTTTGCAAAAATTTCTTTGAAAAAAAGTGGTGGGCTAACGAAAGTATGTGAGGTTCTTCTTGTAAGAGTTACAGTAATATAGTCCAGTTCCTCTGTTTCTACTAGATATTCTTCCACAAGGACCTGCAGGAACGTTGCTCCAAAATGTCTTTTTGGTTTAGATATCGAAGGTATGGGGGAGTCTACTTCTTTTTTCCTTGCTGTTCTCAGAGACTCCTCCGGTTTGGATGCCGAATGCACAAAGAAGTTCACCATATATAGAAAAAACTTGACCTCTGTGCAAACCATTCACAATGCCCGTGCCTCAGTATATCATGTTTAAGAACTTCATCGACAACAGCTTGTAAAAAAAGAGCTTGACTGCGATACCGGACCCATTTTTTGTTTATACGCCTGCTTCTCAGTATTTCACATATATAAGTTTAGTCGATAGCAAGTATGAAAGTATGCATCAAGAGTATCGTAGTATCCACTTTGTTGCTTTTCTATAGTTTTAACTGTAGTTCAATTTTTTTGTTATTGACCAAGGGATTGTTGGAAAGAGTTTTTTTTGCTATTATAATTTATATTAAATAACTAATTTTTAAAATATTATAAAAAAATTTATAAAATAAATATTATATAGTATTAATATGTAAATATTTTTATTTTAGTTTAAAAGTGGGTTAGGCCTAATAAAATTTTAAGTAATAGGTCTTTAAAAATTTAAGTATATAAATATATATATTATATATAATCAGACCTCTATAAATACAATTTTTCTAAATATATGTTCTATGAAAAATCTCTATAAATACATGGTTTTGCTATATCTTTATTACATATACATTTATAGATTTTTACTTTTCTAAATACAATATTTCTTTAAATACAAGATTTTAAATTTTCTATATAGTCTGCATAAATTGCATTTAGAGAGAGTTAATTATAGTTTAAAAAATAATATATATAAGAATAAATATATATACTTTACAATATATTAATTTATTAATACACATAAATTATAATTTGTCAAAATAATTTTGCATAAAAATTAATTAAATTAATTGGTGATTCGCCAGTCACCTAGTGCATGATCATAGTGTAACATGATGCAGATCACTATGTAAATCACATATACTCTGAATGTGATGTTCGCTAAAGGAAAACTTTTTTTCTTACTAAGTTAATTGATCTTCTCGATTAAGAAAAATTATAGAGCTCATCAAGGCACATCTAACAGCGGTAAGAACATCAAAATCAGACTAGTAGTCACCGAGATATTGCTAAAAAACGATTGGCCGACTATGTAAAATTCTATGTAAATAAACTATTGTTTATATAGAAATTTTACATAGTCGGCCAATCGTTTTTTAGCAATATCTCGGCGACTACTAGTCCGATTTTGATGTTCTTACCGCTGTTAGATGTGCCTTTACAAGCTCTAGAATTTTTACTTAATCGAGAAAATCGATTAACTTAGTAAGAAAAAAAGTTTTTCTTTGGTGAATGCCATATTCAGGGTATATGTGATTTATATAGTGATCTGCATCACATTACACTATGATCATGCTCAGGTAACTGGTAAATCACCAATTAAAATTAAAATTAAAGAAATTAAGATTAAAATTAGAATAGAATTAATTATATACCAAAATTTTATAAAAAATTTTTTTGTTAAAACACAAAAAGTGGTTTCATAGACAAAATTTTAAAATATTACAAAATATCTTATTTTTGTTATATGAAATTAATTTGTATATCACATATAATCTTCAAATTTAATTAGTAGATAATATAATTATAATATAAAGATACAAAGCCTAAAAACTCCTTATATATATTTTTTTAGATTATAACTAATTTTCACTTATGATAATATTATCTGATATTATAAAATTTTATTAAAAGAAAATAATTTATAGTTAGTGATTAGAATTAGAGCAGTGTCATTTATCACTTGATTATTTTTTATTAGAGGCTTACCCCCTTCCCCCCTCTTAATATAAAAAAAAATCAGGTTCTTATATATAATTTTCTTTTTTTACCCCCTCCCCCCTAAAAAATCACCTGATTTTTGTCACATCCTTTAGCCTTGGGTTAGAGTAAGAGAAGTTAAATATATATACAATTTGGTACTAAAAACTTTTACTTAGAAGTTGAAACATGATTTTTATAACAAAATTTTGAATTATTAAAGTTTTTTATTTTGCTTTTTTTTTACTTTGTTTTGGTTATACAAAATTCAAAAAACTAATTAGTTTTTATACAACTGGATGATATTATCTAGGGTGAAAATTAGCAATATATATTTTTTTTAATATATTTATTTTTTTGCTTTTTTTAAATATAAATTTTTTTTATTTTTTATAAAAAATATTATTAAATTAATAATACTCTATTGTAGAATAAAGTCAAAACAAATTATTTTTATTGTAGAATAAAGCCAAGACAAATTATTTCTATTGTAAAGTAGAATTAAAACAAATTATTTTTACTACTTTAATAGACAAACAATATAATAGATTATACAATACCAGACAGTCTAAGATATCCTATTTTAATAAATTTTTTAAAAATAGTATAATTTGGCAAAAAATTATTAAATACAAAAACCCTCTTACAAATTAATAGTTTGTAACCA